AAGCATGAGGCTGCTGAGCCATCTGGCGAGCCGTTATTGGGAGAGTGATCTTGATAGATTACTCATTAAACTCTTTCAACACTTTGTTCCAAGATTGTCAGTGCTTTTACGGATTCTTATTAAATTAAGGTGGCGCTAAGATTTAGGAGCAGTGGGACCACATGTGTCACCATGTGTGTCCCTAACAATAAACAAGTTGATCTTGAGAATACTCCCCAAGTCCACTCTAAGACCTCTTACTGTCATTTATTGTGGTGATATCACTATTTTGTTTTCTCACAACAAAATAGCTACAACAGCCCACCTCAACAACTTACAACACACAATAATAAGTCTGGGGTTTTTTTTTTATGCAGTGTTAGGTTTTTAATATTTTTGATGTGTCATTTACTAATAAAGGTCCCTGTTCATTGATTCAGCAAATATTGATTCAGTTGCTTTTTTGCCATGGATATGTTGAATGCTGAACTTGTCATCTTAAATGAAAGAGAAAATTCACCCCAACTTTCTGATTTTTTATCTAAGCATTTATCTTGCTTTGGAGCTGTATTTTCTGGAGATCCTGTAATGAACACATAATATCTATTATTGTCTCAGTATCTCTAGATTACTATTTGACCAAAAACCTTAAAACCATTTAATAAGCATTGTTAGAAGGTCGATCCTCTTATCATCAAATCAAATGAAAATAGATATTGTACCTCAAAAAAGGAGGGTGAATTTTGCTAATTCGCTGTAGTTCTCATTTGTAAGCATTTATTAATGTCTGATTATGGTAGTATTACCTACAGAAGCACCTGCCAACATACCCTTTGCACTCTAAAAGTATATAATTTGTAAGTTTCTAGTTAATGAGATGCAGGAGCCAAGAATCTTCTTATGATGCTTCACTTTCTCTTCTCTTGTAGCTTCTCTATATTTACCTTCACTATATTTTTCTAACCTTCATCAACACTTTGACATCCAATTGCTTTTTGTTGTTTCTTGACTTGATTTTAGTCACACTCCCTATGCTTAGAACGCGGAGACTCCTCTTACTGTCCATCTTTCTGGGCATCTCAGTTTTTCCTTCTTGTATCTGTACTCTGCAGATTTCCTTATGTGCCGTAACTTAATTCCTTTTCTGGGAAAGTGTGCTAACACTATCTTCCCAGGCCACAGACTGCTGGAACTAAAATAATCAAGATGGCTATAAGAAGACAGACTTTGAAGTCCTGCAAAGGATGTTACTTGTTGCCCCACCAATATTCCCTGACAGGTGTAAGGAAGTCAGAGATCACCTGCAACCCCCCTAAGCTCTTCTGTGGATCTGGAGATCAAATGGACACCAGGCAGATTAATAAGAGAAAAGCACATACATTTTATTAGTTTTACATGTACATGAGGATCTTCACAAGAGAGTAAAGTCTGAAGAAATGCCCAAAGCAAGACACATCTACACTCGTTAGACAAATAATAAATTTAAGAAAAAAGTGACAGAATAAAGAAAATCTGGCTGCAGGCAGTAAATTTTCTAGCAGAATCACTAGGGGATATATGGGGGGTATAAAACTAGTGGAAAGTAAGGGTTACTTCGTTAAGTTTATTTTTAAATTTTAATTATTTTATTTTATTGTATTGTATTTTTTTGCCACAGAGTCTTGCCCTGTTGCCCAGGTTGGATTGCAATGGTGTGATCTCCACTCACTACAACTTCCACCTCCCAAATTCAAGCGATTCTCGTGCCTCAGCCTCCCAAGTAGCTGGGATTACAGGCACCCACCACCATGCCCAGCTAATTTTTTTTTTTTTTTTTTTAGTAGAGATGGAGCTTCCCACATTGGCCAGGGTAGTCTTGAACTCCTGGCCTCAAGTGATCCATCTGCCTCGGCCTCCCAAAGTGCTGAGATTACAGGCATAAGCCACTGCGCCTAGCCTCATTAAGCTTATTTATTCAGGTTCATTGCAGCCCCCAATTCCCAGTCTCCAGTGGCAAGAGCTATTTTCTTGCCCTGTTAAGGGAGGATACCCCTCCCAGAGGAATCTTTATGGCTTGCTGCATATAGGAAGAGATAAGCCAGCTATCCCTTTCTGAAACCACAATTTCTGCAGTGTTTTCAACTCGAAACAATCAATATATTAGTCTTGGGTATTTTGGGATTGCATGTCCTTCACTCATCCACAGGGGTACCTTGGGACTCAGACTTTAACCGGGTCTCTAAGCATCTGCTCATTTGTTATGAGCCAGCAATCCTAATGGATCCGCTTACCATTTTAATTTTACAGACAGTCAAGAAAAGAAAAAAACAAGCGTAATATGATGATGATGAGCATGGCTATTTTGGACTGTCAGGTTCCCTGACTCACCCTAGTTTTTTAAAATTTTTGTTACATATTTGTCGGGTACAGAGTAATATTTCAACACATGGAATGTGCAATTATCAATTCAAAATAATCAGCATATCATCACCTATCACTTCAAACGTTTGTAATTGTCTTGTGTTGAAAGTATTCACTCAACCTAGTGGAAGGCAAATGTATGGAAGTAGATTCTCTGAAAGTGCTTTGTAGAAAAGTAAAAATTATTTTGTGTGTAAATAATGAAACACAGTAGCTACCATATGCAGCGTATCTTCTAGGATGGAAGCGCGATTCCAATTTCATTACAAGTGTGCTCATGTCATTCTCACATCAATCCTGCCTGGTGGGTTTATGACCTTTATTAATAGATGGAGGAGGCACAGAGAATGAAAGTAACAGAAGACAGTGGGTGTCTTCAAAGTTCTTGTTCTTTTCACAATGACACCCTGGCACCAAAGGTTTAACAAGGATAGGTAGGCATGTTGCTATGAGCAGTGCAGGCTTTGAAAAGACTTTGACTTTGAACTGACAGGATGTGGAAATGATGGAAACACACACACACACACACACACACACACGCACAACTGATGAAAAAAATTGCTCCTTTGTAGAAAAACAACATTCTATACAGAGAGAGACTTGATTGGGAGTTTGGAGATGATGGCTGGAGCACTTAATAACAGCCTTGCAAAGCCAGGGCAAAGAGTGAAGGATGGTTGGCAGGTGTTCTTTATCAGCAAGAACAATGCAGGGAGAGACCAGAGGTAGAAGTTATCAATTCAAATGTTCGCAAGATGCTAGATAACAATTTCAAGGGGCATCATAGTGCCCCACAATAGATAAAAATTTAACGACAAATTTATTAGTTATGTAGGTGTGAGAGGTAGGAGAAGGATGAGATTCTCATGCTTAGCTGTACCATAGGTAGCTGCTTAGTGACTCAGTTCTTACTGAGGTGTAGAAGCCCCCCCTGACTGATGGCTGGAGATACTGATTCATGTAGTCTTGGAACTGCTGTAAGAATCCTAGCTTGTTGTTAATAAAAAAAAAAAAACAGAAATAAATTTATAAATGAATTGTACATAAAGATACATAAACAGATAAATAAATCTAAACTTCTTGGTATTTTCTATATACAGCGAGCCCTTTCTATTTATGACTCCCACATCTGTGGATTTAACCACCCGTGATCAAAAACCCACAGATGTGGGAGGGCAGACCGGGGAACCTGAGCGTCTTTGGAGTTTGGTATCTGTGCGGGTCCTGAAACCAATCCTCTGAGAATACCAGGGGACAACTCCACATATATTTTTATGTCGGAGTAGAAAACTATTTTGCATAGTTTCATATTTTCTAGACGTTAAGTTAGAAAACTGTATGTCATCTCTGCACAAATGCAGTAATAACTGCTGATCAAATTTTATTAACCCTTTTGTGGAAAGAAATTGGTGGCAGCTACCGATAGTATGAGTATTACAGCTTTCCTTCCAGACTATAGTGTTTCCATTGTCAAGTAAATCACTTCTACTCCATACTTGGAACACTGTATAGAATAGTAAAAGCTAGAGCAATCTTTACAATCACCAGTCTGTAGATTCAATAGTGCAGCATACAAGGCCCATCACTGATGCCTTAACATTTCCTGTTAGCATCACAAAATAATGATCTATATCACTAGAAACATTACTGATGGTACTAAATAGCTATGATATGGAGAAGGAGGTGATGCAAGTGAAAACTTTTTTTTTTTTTTTTTTGAAATGGAGTCTCTCCCTGTTACCCAGGCTGGAGTGCAATGGTGCGATCTTGGCTGACTGCAACCTCTACCTTCCAGGTTCAAGCGATTCTCCTGCCTCAGCCTTCCAAGTAGCTGGGACTACAAGCATGTGCCATTAAGCCCAGATAAAATTTTTTTTGTCTTTAGTAGAGATGGAGTTTCACCATGTTGGCCAGGCTGGTCTCGAACTCCTGATGTAGTGATCTGCCCGCCTCGGCCTCCCAAAATGCTGGTATTACAGGTGTGAACCATTGCGCCCAGCCGTGAAAACTTTTTTTAAAAAGTTTAAAGTGCAGTATAAATACCTAAACACAGAGCCAACACATGTCTTCGCAATGAGGGAGACAGATTCTCCAGATTCAGAAAAGCCTTCCCACTGTAGCATTTCTTCACTTTATCTTCTCGTGGGCTGGTTGTCATGGAATGACATTGGTCATGGCAGCTGCTACCAGGAATTAGAACCATCTTAGTATCTCGTGTGAAAGGGCTGAAAAAAGAAGAAAAAGCACAAAGCCAGGTTTTTAGATGCATCCATATTTAATAAAATAGTGTCTAAATATAACACATGTGTAAATCTAATAATATTAGAATTCTGAAACCAAGATTTTTAAAAACACCAGAAAAGTCAGAGGTAGCTGAATTTCTACTATAATGTCTACCAAGGCATTAGCCAGTCCGTATTTGAAGAGCTCAAACAATAGAAAACACATTATTCAAGGTGTTCACTTCTATTTTTATGTTGGTTCCAAGCAGCCAAAGTTCTTTATTACACTGAAGTGAAGCCAAGAATGTGTCTAAAGGAACCACACATAACGTTACATTGTTATAAATGAATACATGTAAAAGGCTTTTTATATGTTCTTTGTTTGTTTCCGTGAAACAGTGGAGGCGCTCCATTTGGGAACGTTAATGGCTGCCCATGGTTACTTCTTCCCAATCTCAGATCACGTCCTCACACTCAAGGATGATGGCACCTTTTACCGGTTTCAAGTAAGTTTAACAGGAATGTTCTTGAACAGTCAACTAGAAGCCTGCATTTTGTTTGCTAGTTAGGTTTCTTTTTAACAGAACTTTTAAAAACTGTGAGCTATTTTACTTTGACTTAGGCTAGTTAGAAACTGATTAATGTTCAACTAGAGACATAAAAAGCAATAAACAGAAAAATGAAGTATGCTTAATCAAGATGATGTGTGATGATGGAAATTCTATTTTATATGAAAAGCTTAAGGGAAATTCAGATAGTGACTTAATGGCATTCAGGAAGACCGGAGAGCCTTCCTCTGTAAGTTGCATTAAGTTACTAGAAAGGGGCCAGGTGCAGTGGCTCATGCCTGTAATCCCAGCACTTTGGTAGGCCAAGGTGTGTGGATCACAAGATCAGGAGTTTGAGACCAGCCCGGCCAACATGGCAAAACCCCGTCTTTACCAAAAATACAAAAAAGTAGCTGGACGTGGTGGAGGGTGCCTGTAATCCCAGCTACTCAGGAGGCTGAGGCAGGAGAATCAATTGAACCCAGGAGGGGGAGGTTGCAGTGAGCCAAGATCACACCATTGCACTCCAGCCTGGGAGACAGTGGGAGACTCCTTCTGAAAAAGAAAAGAAAAGATAAAGGAAGTGGAGAAGTGTAAGTCCATGGCTTATAGTCTGACCCTTGCCTGTGATCCAGACCATCTGCGTCCCAAGTAACTTTTAATGGGAATGCTTGAAGCTCCAAGATAGGATTCAGCTGATTATACAAACTTTCAGCATCCAAGGCTTTTCTACAAGTCTGTGAAGACTGACGTGGTAATATATAGTGTGTGTGCACCTAACTGCAACAGGATACCTCAGATAACTTGCAAACTGATAAGAGTCATTCTAGGTCATTTGCAAATGACAGAGATTCTATCATTCTTTCAGGTAATGATGGTGGACTCTAATTTCAGTCATCGTAAGTGTATTTGACACTTGAGTTCACATTGATTTACCTAAAGTGTAGTCTACATTTCAGTAGGCATTATGGCTCTTTAATAACTGACTAGCAGATTCTAGCCTGCAAAATAAAGGCACATAAAATGCTGAATGTCAAACTCTAACCTATTTCCAACATGGAGGGTTCTCTTCATGGTTCATGGACCATGTTCTCTCCGTGGTCCAACTTTCAGACTTTGGAGGCTTCTTCTCACTTGCTCTAAGTATTATTAAATGCTCTATACCTACGTAAATGACTGAATAGTAATCGGAGTGCCTAAGAGTTGTTTGGGAAAACCGAGAACAAAGAGGAATTATTTTAATCATTTGCTTTAAAAAATCATGTCAAAGATTATTGTCTTCATAGCACAGCCTCACTGCCCTTTCCTTAGGACTCATTTCTCCCAAGGCAAATAATCATAGGACAGTTCCGCACTTAAGAGCTAGGAGGAAATAAAGCTGTCTCCTGAAACAGTGATACTGGCCTAAGTATTCAAGCACGTAGTTCAATTACTTAACTCACAAAATCTTTACATTAATGGAGCTTTATTCTTTAAACAGCTAAACTTAAACTAATGGTAGCTTAAAAGAGCATATTGTTAAAGTAACTTGTGGTCCCAAGGTTAAATTTTTAATAACTAGGAATTATTAGTGATTAGCAAATAAATTGTTTATATGTGACTAATGCTTTCTGATATTTGAAAGAAATCTCTATTCCCAGAAAAAAAAATAGAAAGCAATCAAGGTTTACATGTCTTATTCATGCTCATGGGTCTGAAATGCCACACGAGGCTGGGCACAGTGGCTTATGCCTGTAATCCCAGCACTTTGGGAGGTTAAGGTGGGCTGATCACTTGAAGTTAGGAGTCCAAGACCAGCCTGGCCAACATGGTTAAACCCCATTTCTACTTAAAAAAAAAAAAAAAAAAAAAGAACACACAAAAAATTAGCTGGACCTGGTGATATGTGCCTGTAATCTCAGCTACTCAGGAGGCTGAGGCAAGAGAAGACCTTGAACCTGGGAGGCAGAGGTTGCAGTGAGGAGAGATTGTGCCACTGCACTCCAGCCTAGGAGGCAGAGCAAGACTCTGTCTCAGGGGAAAAAAAAAAATAGCCATATGAAGGAAGGGATCACCATACACACAGGAGAAAAGGAAAGAATGTTTAAAAAGAGCTTTAGAACAATGCAAGGGAATGAGTACAAAGGACTCATGAACTTACATAACTACTAGGGATAGACAGAGTTGTCAAGTTCAGTGTGCTGAGATAGATAGGCAGATATAAAATAAACATTATACGTATGCACATTAAAATTACATTAATGATAAATATTAAACGTTACATATTTTAATGATGCATCCATATTTGAAATAGTGTCTAGATATAACACATTTGTAAATCTAATAATATTAGAATTCTGAAATCAAGATTTTTTAAAACACCAGAAAAGTCAGAAGGAACTGAATTTCTACTATAATGTGTACCAAGGCATTAGCCAGTCCATTTTGAAGAGCTCTAATAATAGAAAACCCAGTATTATTCAAGGTGTTCACCTCTATTTTTATTTTGGTTCCAGGCAGCAAAAGTTCTTTATTATACTGCAGTGAAATTCAACTCCTCGAAAGGATATTTTAAGATCATGAATTAAAATAGAAAACTTGGGATGCCATGTTTACAAATCCTCCAGTAAATGGTTGGGAGTCTAAAGATCATTATGAATCTAGGCCGGGCAAGGTGGCTCACACCTATAATCCCAGCACCTGGGGAGGCCGAGACAGGTGGATCACTAGGTCAAGGGATGGAGACCATCCTGGCCAACATGGCTGGGCATGGTGGTATGCGCCTATAGTCCCAGGTACTCTGGAGGTTGGGGCAGGAGAGCCGCTTGAACCCAGGAGACGGAGGTTTCAGTGAGCTGAGATTGCGCCACTGCACTCCAGCCTGGAGACGGAGCGAGACTCAGTTAAAAAAAAAAAAAAATCTAAAGAGTCTTCAAAGCATAAATCTGAGACAAACAGAAATCTTGATTTCATTGGCATGGCAGTTTATATATTTGTCTCAAATTTGTAGTACATGTCTTAATCGTGATTCTTATAATTTACCGTAAAGTCAAAATTGTCTAATCATCCTCTCTTAGCTAACTGGAATTGAGATCTGCTGTGATTCTTTAGCGCTCTTTTGTGACTCTTAATACATTAGCATATGCTCCAACAGTTAGTGAATAACAGTTGAACAGTTTCAGATGAGTTTCATCCTAGCTAAGGAAGTCAATAGTGAAAAGCCAAGAAGCTCATGCATTAAAATGTCCTAATGTATGGAAAACTATAAAATATGTATTTAAATTCCAAAAAAGTATAAGAGTTTGTTATTCTCCTATATTATCTTTCACTACAAACTAAAACATTTCTTCTTAGAAAAAGTCTTCCAATATTGGTGAAGAATGTTGGCTTAGTGGCATTTCCATATGATATCTCAAGGAAAAAATGCTTCATTCTTTAATTTTACAGTCATTAAATTCTCATGAAGTAAATGATGAAGAATGAAGGAAAATATAAGAATGCAGCTGAGAATATTTTCTGTGCTTTTGAGGAAAAAATATATGTCTGACTGGCCTGACTAGAATAGATATTTTAAGGTTAGATAAATAGATACGCCTGCACACATACCTATACATATACATACATACTCCCCAAAATACAGAAACAACCAAAAGGGAATTGTGCACTCCATAAGAAGCATATCAAAAAGTAACACCCTACGTGAAAGCAAAGTTTTAATTACTTTGTCCCCCTAGGGCTCCCCTAGAATCTGGATTCCATTTTATTTTTAAGAAATCAAATTCTCAAAGCTTCATCTCCCATGGAGTCAAGTGAGATTGGGGTGATGAGGGTGACCCATATAAAGTCTTGCTATTCTCCCTTGTCTAGTGGTTCAATCTTTTTTCTTTCTTCAAAATTCCTATGATGATTTTGTTCTCATGTTCACAAAACTGCTATTAGTAGCCTTCTTTATTTTACTACTATAATTTTCAAGAAAATACGAAGGGTAAGTCAAAATCCCTGGGTGGTGGCAGGGGGCATCTTAGTTTGGAAAGCCTTTTCTGTAGAGATTCAAACAGTTCTTCCCATTTACCCATTTCTCTCCTTTAGAGTCTCTCTTCTAGAGGGGAACATTATCAGGTACTCAGAGATTACTCCAAATATGCTCATTGCACATGGCTAGTTAATATAATTAGCTAACAGATAGAATTAAGCCCACAGTACCGATATTTGCCACCACTGTTACAGTGAGTCCTGCAGTTATCATCCTTCCAGGGAAAGGGGTTGATGAGGAGGTGCATCAGGTTTCCTCATGGTCAGGAGCCAAGCGTGTTCAGCTAGCAGGACTAGAAAAGTCCTTTTAGAAAATATAAATGTTAATGATAATAATGAAGTTTTTCTTGATCAATCATTTTCTTTGTAGTTTAGAAAATCAGTTTCTAGAATTCTACAGAATCCAAATTCTGCCTATTATAGATTATATCACTCAATTAAGACACTGGTAGTTTAAAAAAGGACCTCTGATATGTGCAGTTTAAAACTTTAGAGCAATAAGTGTCTTCGTAATGTTTTTATTTTTATTTATTTTTTGTGGGTTCTTAAATTTTAATTAAAAATTAATTTTTAATTAAATTTAAAATTTTAATTTTTTGAAATTTTTTATATTTTAATATTTTTAACAATTTTTTAAATTTTAATTTTTTGAAATTTTTTAAATTTTAATTTTTGTGGGTATATCATAGTCATATATATTTATGGAATATATGGAATACATGAGGTGTTCTGATACAAGCATGCAATCTGAAGTCATCACATCATGGAGAATGAGGTATCCATTCCCTCAAGCATTTACCCTTTGTGCTACAACAATGCAGTTACACTCTTAGTTATTTTAAAATTTATAATTAAGTTACTATTGACCCTAGTCACCCTGTTGTATTACCAAATTGTAGAAATTAATTACAAGAAGAATTTGGGAAATGTCTTTAAAAGTGAGAGTAAAAAGTTGTTTTAATCTCCTTGGACAATGCTGAGAACTGCATTATATGACTAATGGAGCCAGGAAAATGATTGTCAGATCTCAGAGAAAGAGTTTGTTGGTTGGTTGAGCTTTTGGAGCTACCAAAAGAAGTGTTGAGATACATGATTTATAGAAAACAATTTGTTATATTTAAATACATTTCATTCTGAGTCTTGCTGAACATAGTTCTCTTTCAGTCCTCTCTGTGGATGAATACTATTTGTTTGAATAATACAATCAGACCTTTTTACCTTTATGTCAATTGGTATAAAATTACACCAAATGAATGACATTTTAAATACCTGCTTGCTGATACTACACATATTTAGAAGCTGAGCAATTGGTCAGGAAAGTAAACGTAGACAAACAGTTTACAATGTGTCTCTTGGAACATGTTCTCTATTAGAAAACACATGGAAAACGAATATAGAGAATTGTGGAAGGTAAATGCAGTTTGCAAGCCAGAAACTCCACTAATTTTTTCTTTGTCTAACCTGGTTCCACTTCTTTTCATTCCACAGACACCCTATTTTTGGCCATCAAATTGTTGGGAGCCGGAAAACACAGATTATGGTCAGTGCCATCTCTCCTCATTTTATTATTGACAGCCTCTGTGTCCAGATGGTGTGCACTTGCATTTTATTGCTTTTTTCATTGATAAAAAGAAAGCACAATTCTTCAGGATGGGACCAATATTTCTCAGATTGAGTTTATAAGTGATTTTGTTTGAAAAGTCACTAAATCTCATGACAACTTTTTCTGTGGTGTGGTGCCCTCTGCAACTATTAAAGAAAACCACCTGAATAGGTTAAAGAGCTATATAGAAGTTTAAAGGGGTTATTATTATTTTTTCATAGCAACCTAGCCTACTAGAAAGAACAAAAAGAGGCCCATAGAACCAGAGTTCTAGTTCTGTTCTCCCACTTAGCTGTGTGATTTTTGGTAAGTCCCTTGACTGCCCAAGGGTCCACTTTTCTCACTGTTCTATGAAGCATCCTATGATATTTATAAGTGGAGGATTATGATAAACACGAAGAGGCCAATTACAAGCAAAAATAAAAATAAAAAAGCTAAAAGAGGAAATTCAATGCTAATAAATCAAGTTCAGTGAACTCAGAAGAAACTTGGTTCAATAACTGTTATTTCAGTCAAGCTCTTCAAGGAGAAAAATAAAAGCCCCTATTAAGTACTCATCTTAGATCTTCCTGAATGCTACAGTTTTCAACGGCAAGATTGCATGGTTTTCAAATGTCATTTCTACAAGTGTTTATTGAGCATTTCTCTTCCTGTGCCAGGTGCAATTGAAGATGGTAGGTTTGCAAAGGTGACTGAGTTTATTGACACTGTTGGGTAGCTCATAGGCTAGATGGGAAAGTAGAATTATCCAGAAGGAGTTACCATAGAGTGTTAAGTGAATAGGAGAGTGGCATATGCAAAATTATTTGAATGTTTAAAAGAATGAGAAGTTGACTTTCTCTGGGGGCTTCCAGAATGATTTTGCAAAAGAATTGGTAGCATTTGAGCTAGATTTTAAGAGGAATGATTTTTCAGTTGAGAAGGCAGGGCAAGTGGTTTGAGGCAGAGGAGCTGGCATAATACACAAAAGCAATGAGAAGCTTTATAGCAGCTTGGCCTTCTTTGATATTGCTCCTGGAGAGATGTCTTTGTAAGAAGAAAACATAAGAAAATTCATAGAAAATCAATAAAGCAATAAAGCTATCTCTCATGTGTGTCATTTCAGACACCTGAATTTAGTAGATCATCCAAAAATGGCCAGTCAAAAGAGTCAAAACTACTAACATAACTCATAAAAAAAAAAAAAAACCTAAAAACCAATACTGAAAAACTAATATGGAGACACAAGTATTTCTTTCCAGTACTGAAAATGCCAGTTTCTTCACCCAGGGCACACATTCCTCAAAACTGAGGTCCTTGGAGAAACTAGTTATTTTAAAAAAACAACTACTGATTTATAGATCTGAGTTGGAGAATGTTCTGGAGCATTTTATTCAACCTAGGATAATGCCTGGAGACCATCTCACTAAAGAATATACTCACTCTATTCTAGAATTCTTTAGATGTCTCACTAAAGAATACTAGGGTAGGAACACCGGAACAGCTAAGAAGGAGCTTGTAGAGAAAAAACCCAGGCATGAGAGTTAGACCTGACCACAAACACTGTCATAACCACACACCAACCGTGTGACTTTAGGCAAGGCATGCAACATCTCCGAGCCTCAGTTTGCTCACTCTTCAAACAGAAACGATAATGCTGACTTTCTAAAGTTGTTAAAATGATTCAAATTAATACACCTAAGGAAACTAGTATTGGTCCTCTCACATACTCAATACATTGAAATTAGTGTTTTGTGCTCATCATCATTATTGCCTGGCAGATACACTGCCTCTTTTCCCTGTTGAAAAGCAAATTCCCAGCCAAGCATGGTGGCTCATGCCTGTAATCCGAGCGCACTTTGAGAGGCTGAGATGGACGGATCACCTCAGGTCAGGAGTTTGAGACCAGCCCCCATCTCTGCTAAAGATACAAAAATTAGCCAGGCGTGGTAGCGCACTCCTGTAATCTCAGCTTACCCAGGAGGATGAGGCAGGAGAATGGCTTGAACCTGGGACGTGGAGGTTGCAGTGAGCCAAGATCACACCATTCCACTCCAGCCTGGGGGACAGAGCGAGACTCCATCTAAAAAAAAAAAAAAATTAAAAAAAGAAAAGCAAATTCCCATTCTCAGTGTTTTCTGCCCATCTGTTGTGTCTTTCATAAATATGTTACAGAGTCCTCACATTTAAAGCTCATGTTTTATCATTTTATATAGATTGATGTTTCGATGGTGAGCCTGAGGAAATGTCATGACATACACAGCAAATCATTTACAGAACATCTCTTAAAGTAGACCCCAAAATGCTGAATATTATACGTTTTCCATTGTTCCTTGAAAGGGCCACAAATGCAAAGTGTCCACCAAATGCAGAAGGAGCCAAGAAACCAAAGAACAGAGCAGAAAAATCCAGTTTGTTGGCAAAGGCTGATTTATGGGGGAACTTACAGACACAAGCGTGGTCTTGAGTGACCAAAAGAAAGGTAGGCCTTCACACTACAACCTTCCAGACTCAGGGTTTATAGATCCTGGGGAAAACACATTTGCTCTGGAAGGAATGAGTGGGTGGCTGAGAGAATGCTGTGGGTGTCACAGCCACAGGTGATGTATGCAACAATATCAAGGGTTGTTTTGGAGGAAAGGTGAAACTCAGAGTAAACAGGTGTTTCGACATAGAGAGTAAATCATCAGCTAGACATCTTGGAGGCATTCCCGACTCAGTGTTAGTTAGGAGTCAACATGGCGGATTAGCACCTAAGATGGAATCACTCTTCTTCCCACACACGTTACCACCCACCGGTGTCCATTCCCAAGGGGATCATCCCTTACACTTTCTCCCCACACCTGGAATACTTGCTACTTACGTAACTAACTTACTCTTTAATTATTATGTTTGGTCTTTTTTCCTCTGAAGAAACATATTCATTGTGCTTAGCTTGCCTCAATTACATACAAGTAGGGAATAAAATAATTATTCCATTAAGAGGATTTGGGGGAAAACTGGGAGGAAGAGAATAACAATAATCTCAGACACTGTACATCCCCTGCAGGCTTCATTTTCTATGATTTTTCTTTTTACATGCAAATAAATTGTAGCAACAATATGAATTAACCAATTTTGAATTTCCTGCTGCCATTTGTTTAAAGAATACTTTTATAAAACCTCACCCCTGGGCTTTTAAAGAGGATGGTGATCATGTGATGTACTTGGGCCGTGACTCCCAAAGCACAGTAACTACCTAGGCTGTCTTTTCTAAGACAACTTTGGGGCAGAGGGACTTTGTTGCATAAAGCAGGTTGAAGAAGAGTTTATTTCACTTTATTAGCATCCTGTGACCAAGCAGGTTCTGCTGAACATAAGCCTCTATAGGTCAGTTGATATGAAAAACCACTTTTTCAGAGTTATCTTGGTTTTATAGAAAAATGGAATGTTGGCTGGGCATGGGGGCTCATGCCTGTAATCCCAGCACTTTGGGAGGCTGAGGTGGAGGATCCCAAGGTCAGGAGATTGAGACCAGCCTGGCCAACATGGCAAAGCCTCATCTCTACTAAAAATACAAAAAATTAGCTGGGCATGGTGGTGGGTGCCTGTAATCCCAGCTACTCAGGAGGCTAAGGCAGGAGAATCACTTGAACCCAGGAGGTGGAGGTTGCAGTGAGCAGAGTTTGCACCACTGCACTCCAGCCCAGGAGACAGTGTGATACTCTGTCTCAGAAAAAAAAAGAAAAAAGAAAAATGGAATGTTTTGATTCTGTTCAGTAACTAAGACGAGCCAATATGGACTAAAAGGTGTATATCTTTATAAATTCCATTCTTTGAAAATCAAGTTGGATAATATTTCAGGTATTTTATGTGCAAGTAAAAGCATTCTAATTTAAGCCAGTTAAAGTGGAGTCAGAAATGGGCTTCCCCAGATGTATCTGCATCATCAAGAGAGATCTGGCACAAAGGACTTGCAGTGAGGGCTGGAGGAAAAGGCACAGGAAAACTTAAGAGAGCTTTGGTAAGAAGCAGAGACAGTGTCAGTTGTTGCAAACTGAAACAGAAGGCGAGGCAGGGTTTCTGCTGGTACCTCTGGGCATACACATTGCACACAAATGGTCCTAGAAATGACCATTTTAGAACGTATTAAAAAGCCATTTTAGTACACATTACAAAAACAGAAACATAAACCAATGAAACAGAATTGAGAGCCCAAAAATAAAACTGCACACCTATAACCATATGATCTTTGGCAGAGTCAACAAAAATAAGCAATGGAGAAATGATCCCTTATTCAATAATGATTCTGGGATAACTGGCTAGCCACATGCAGAAGAATGAAGCTGGACCCCTACCTTGTACCATACACAAAAATGAACTCAAGATGGATTAAAGTTTAATATAAAACCTCAAAATAAAAAAAATCCTAGAAGAAAACCTAGGATATACCACACTAGACAATGGCCTTGGCAAATAATTCATCACTAGGTCCTCAAAAGCAATTGCAACAGAAACCAAAATCAACAAGTGGGACCAAATTGAATTCACCTAATTAATTAAACTCAAGAGTTTCTGCACAGCGAAAGAAACTATCAACAGAATTAACACACAACCTAGAGGATGGGAGAAAATATTTGCAAACTATGCATCTGACAAAGGTCTAATATCAAAAATCTGTAAGGTACTTAAACAATGCAACAAGCAAGAAACAATCCCATTAAAATGTGGGCAAAGGACACGAACAGACACTTCTCAAAAGAAGACATACAAGCAGCCAGCAAACATTTGAGAAAATGTTCCACATTACTGAATCAGAGAACTGTAAATCAAAGCCACAATGAGATACCATCTCACACCAGTCAAAATGGCTATTACTAAAAAGTCGATAAATAGCAGATGCTGTCAAGGCTATGGAGAAAACAGGATGTTTATACTCTATTGGTGCAAATGTAAATTAGTTTAGTCATTGTGGAAAGTTGTCTGGAGATTTCTCAAAGAACTGAAAATAGAACTACCATTTATCCCAGCAGTCCCATTACTGGGTATATATTCAAAGGAAAATGAATTATTCTACCAAAAAGAAATCTACATTTGTATGTTTATCACAGTGCTGTTCACAACAGCAAAGACATGAAATGAACCTAGCTGCTCATCAATGGTGTATTGGATAAAGAAAATGTAATATATATATACTATGGAATACTACACAACCATGAAAAAGAATGAAATTATGTCCTTTGCAGCAATATGAATATAGCTGGAGGGCATTATTGAAGCAAATTAACACAGGAAAAGAAAACCAAACACCACATGTTCTCACTTATAATGGAGCTAAACATTGGGTAGACATGGACATAAAGATAAGCATGATAGACAAGAGGGACTACTTGGGGGGAATGATAGAGGGGTACAGAGGCTGAAAAAGTACCTATTGGAGACTATGCTCACTACCTGGGCATTGGGATCAATTATACCCCAAACCTCAGCATCAGGCAATATACCCATGTAACAAACCTGCACATGTACCCACTGAATCTAAAACAAAAGTTCAAATTATTTTTTTTTTAGAGGAGTACAAAGGGAACAATGTCTTTAGGCTATCTCCTTTCAAGGGTTGACTCTCTAATGTCCAGATAGGATTTGAACTCCAAGAAATTGAAATGTCCAGTACAGACAGGAGCTGCCCCTGTATTTGTATGACTCATCTTACCCATCATACCCAAATCCTAGTCCATTTGATATTTTGTCCATTTGAACATTTTGCATTCTTATTTTTTCCAAATACTGCACTAAAATATTATTTATTTTGATTAATTTTTATTTTTTCGAATGTTGCATTAACATATTTTTTATTTCGATTACTGAATTTTTTGACACCCCTCATAGATTTTGCACCTGAGGTGACTGTCACTCACCCCATCCTAGTCTAATACAATTAACATTGCATTTGGTTGTTAGGCCATCTTAAAAGACCTTAATGACAATGTAGATTTTGTCAAGATCATGGCAACCACGTTAAGTGAACAGAATTTTAAGGACAAGGAATATTTAGCCAGAAAAAAATATATGTATTTAGTATGGAAGGGAGAGATGTGTGTGGGAGAGATACAGATTTTTCTGGTGTGTATGGCAAAACCAACATAGGACAGTTGCAAAAAGAAAAATTAGTTCCCAACATGAGAACCTTCAAATTGAAACAATGAATATTGTTCAAAACATCACATTATCTTGTAGGGCGATGATTTATGCCTCAGTAAATATTCAGCCGAGCGCCTGTCTTTTCTCTAGTATGTTGTGAAGGTTTTCAGACCTGGGGAGAGAGACAGTGTGTAGTGCCCCTAAACAACTATACAAGATGAAGTTCCACTTGCCAAAACCACACTAAAGGAATAACAAAAGGATATTGAGAATCAATAAATCCTTCATATATGGTAGTAAGAGGCCAGCACTAGTTGTCCAGCCACAGCAATTGTAGGCTGACATAAAATAATTTCAGCAGCTTTGGGATAAACAGTAATTTTTCCTTCGGGGACAGATTTTAAGTTATCAGTTACCATTGGTAGAAAGCTTGCCATATCCAAAGCTTTGTTTTGGGTTAGAGATGACAAGGAATTTATAATCAGCCAAAGAGATCAAATACACAGTGAGCTAATTTAAAGGAATTTTGAAATAAACACATAAAACAAAACCAAATTAATAGCCTCTATGACTTTAGAACTGTGCCGTGAACCTTGAATAGCTGATAAAATAACAGTGCCTTAAATATCTGCATACTGCAATCATAATTCTGTTACGTATAATATTAGAAAACTGAGAACTTGAGATTTTGGGGAAAACAAAAGAACTTCATTTTTCCAAAAGTAGACATTATTTATTAGTTTATCTAAAACATTGCAGTGTTTTCAAATATATCCATTCCATTAACACAAATCGTGTGGCTTTATTTTTCATCTGGATTCTCTTTGGCATTTAATTTACACAGTCGCTTGTTTTATACGAGGGCCTCTACAGTTCTGTTTTTTTGTCCTCTGAAGAACTTTCCAAGCCTTTGTCATTCGCTTTTAATGAATCCAACCCTGCTATGTCTGTTTTTGAAGCCAGGTGTTAGTGGCTCCTAAGATCGTGTTCTAGGGAGCAGAGTTTTAAAAATTAATAGACTTCATCTTTTTAGAGAAGCTCAAGTTTTACAGAAAATTAAACAAAATGTGAAGAGAGTTCCAATAAAATGCCTCAGTGCCACCTATACTTTCCCCTCTAATTAAAAACTTACCATAATATGGTACATTAGTTACAATTAATGAGCCAATATTAATACATAATTGTTAACAAAAATCCATAGTTTTTATTAGGGTCAATTCTTTGTGTTATACATTCTGTGGGTTTTCAGAAATGTATAATATCATTTATCCGACATTGAGTTTCACTGCCCTGAAAATTCTCTGTGTTCTGCCTAGTTCTCCATCCCCTTACGCTAACCCCTGGCAACCACTTATCTTTTTACTGTCTCCATAGTTTTACCTTTTACAGAACCTCATACAGTTGGAATTATACAGTGTAGAGCCTTTTCTTCTTTCACTTAAGAGCACAAGTTAACACAAAGATGTGTTAAAGTTTCTCCATGTCTTTGCATGGAAGGCTATTTCATGGCATTTTATCACCGAATATTCCATTGTATGAATATAACATAGTTTATCCAGTCACCCATTGAAAAACATCTTGATCGATTCCACGTATGGCAATTATGAAGGAAGCTGCTATAACCTTCATGTACAGATTTTTTTTTTTTGAAGACATAAGTTTCCAATTCATTTAACCAAATACCCAGGAGAGTGGATCATATGGTAAGAGTATATTTAGCGTTGTAAGAAACTTCCAGTCTTCCAAAGTGGCTATACTGTTTTGCATTTTTACCAGCAATGAATGCAAGTACTTGTTGCCCCACATTGTCGCCAGCATTTAGTGTTTTCAGTGTTTTGGATTTTAACCATTTAATAGATATGGTGTCTCATTGTTATTTAAATTTACAATTCTCAAATAACATATGATATTGAACACCTTTTCATATGCATATTTATCTGGTGCATATCTTCTTTATTGGGATTTCTGTTCAGATATTATAATTTGCCCATTTTTTATTGGGTTGTTGTTTTCTTGTTGAATTCTAAGAGTTCCTTGTATATTGTGGATACCGGTGCTTTATCAGATATGTTTTGCAAAGAGTTTCCCCCAGTCTGTAGTTTGTCTTTCATTGTCTTAATGGCGTATTTAAAAGAATCACAGTTTTAAATTTTAATAAAATCCAACTTAGTTTTTCTCTCACAGATTGTGCTTTTGATGCCGTGTCTAAAAACTCATTGCCAAACTCAAAGTCACCTAGATTTTCTCCTGTTATATTCTAAATCTAAAGGTTTTATAGTTTTACATGTTATTTTTAGGTCTATAATCTATTTTAAGTTAATTTTTGTGAAGTTTGTAAAAATCTGGATTCTGTATTCATTCTTTCGCATATAGAGGTCTAGTTGTTCCAGCACCATTTTTTGAAAATAGGATCTTTTCCCATTCGACTGCCTTTTCTGCCTTATCTGAGTCTTCCTGAAATCTCTGTTCTGTTTCCCTGATTTATTTATTTTTGTTCTTTTGCCAATACCATGCTGCTTTGAGTACTTTAGATTTATAGCAAGCTTTGAAGTCTGGTGGTGTCAGCTCTCGGTCCTTGTATTTCTTCAATGTTGTGTTGTCTATCTGGGGTCTTTCGCTTTCCACTTAAATTTGGGAATCAGCTTGCCAATGTCCTCAAAGTATGCTGGGATTTATATTGAGATTGCATTGAATTCACAGGTCAAGTTGGAAAGAACTCACATCTTAACAATATTGAGTCTTCCTATCCACCTATTTGGTATATCTTTCCATTGATTTTGATCTTTGATTTCTTTTAAAAGAATTTTTTGCTATTATTAATATATATCTTCTATATGCTTTGTTAGATGTATGCTAAGTTTTGCTGCTAATATAAATAGTATTTTGTTTTGGAATTCATATTTCGATTTTTCGTTGCTGGTACTTAAGAAAACCGCTGACTTTTTTTGTATTCTGCAACTTTGCTATGATCACTGACTTCTAGGAGTTTTTATTGTTTCTTTGGGATCTTCTACGTAGACAGACATGTCTTCCTGAACAAGGATTTATTTCATCCTTTTCAAAATGTATACCTTTTCTTTCTTTTCCTTGTCTTATTCCATTATCTAAGACTCCAGTTCAGTACCAAATACAAATAGTGAGAGGGGAAATTTTTGCATTTTTCCTGATTTTAGTGGGAAAGCATCCAGTCTCTTTTTTTTTTCAAGATAATTAAATCATTTATTGATTATACATGATAATGGGTGATACACAAGCATCATTCCCACCTATAATTTTATCTGGTACCATTATTCAGTTTAGATATAGTGCATAGGATGTGCCAACAATCATTTTTATAACCAATGATTCCATGATATTGCTTGGGGAATCCCTTTTAATGGTGAACTTCAGGTCACAACAGTAGCTATCAGTTCAACTACACCAAGGTTTCTGAAGACAATGGCTTCTCCACCCAAGCAGGTTGTATATAAATTCCAAATAGAACCTGGCATCACCCTGAAGGAATTTGAACTTCACACCGTTGGGGAAATTTACCAAGATGGCTTCAGAATAGACTAACTTTACACAGCACATTAAAAAAAAAAGACATTTGTTGAGTGTCATGATCAGACTATTAGGTTTAGCAATCAACAGCATGCATGCAAAAAAAAAAAAAAAAATCTACATTAAAACCTTTGTTGGAATGCTTTACACTTTCCACAGAACAGGAACTAAAATAACCTGTTATACAATTAATCACAAATACAGTCCTTGAGTTTTTTGCCCATACACATGAGTATTTGTCTAAATCACGTCTTCTTTGTAGCAGCTAGGCCCTGCCGCCACTGTGCTTGGCTGAGTTCACAAATCTGTTGCAACCTGTAGCTTCCCTGTCACTTCTCTGGCTCTCCTCTTCTGCTAAGCTTTGTTTCCTAATTAAAATCTTCTGCCACTGCCATAGCTACTGCTGCTACTGGAACCGCCATAGCTGCCTTGGTTTTGTGGTTTGGCAAAGTATTGGCCTCCACCACCATCGGGGCCAGAACTTCTGCCTCCAAAGTTTCCTCCCTTTGCGGGTCCAAAATTTGAAGACTGATTGTTGTAACTGCCAAAAGCATTGTAGTTTCACCACCTCCAAAATTACTTCCCTCATTACCAGATCCATGATAGCCATCCCCACTGCCACCATATCCACCATCATCATAGCTGCCACCAAAGCCACCATGACCACTGAAATTTCCTCCATGACCAAAGTTGTCATTCCCACTGGAACCACCTCCATGACCACCACCAGTTTCCAGAGCCACTTGGACTTTGATGGGGCTTTCCTAACTTCACAGCCGTGGCCACTCACAGTACAGTATTTCTGGATGACAATCTTATCCACAGAGTCATGGTCGTCAAAGGTTACAAAGGCAGAGCGCCTTTTCTTGCCACTGCCTCAGTCGGTCATGATTTCAATCACTTCAGCTTTTCATACTGTTCAAAATAATCTCTCAGGTGATGTTCTTCAGTGTCTTCTTTAATGCCACCAACAAATATCTTTTTCACAGTTAAGTGGGCACCTGGTCTTTGAGAATCTTCTCGTGAGACAGCTGTCTGGTGCCACCTCTCTTCCCTCCGCCTGCGTGGCCTTGCACTCATGGCTGCATCTGCCTCCTCCACAGCAGCGTGTGTGACAAACCCAAAGCTCCTGGAGCGCTTGGTGTTTGGATCTCTCATGACCACACAGTCGGGGATCGTTCCCCATTGCTCAGAATGGCTCCCCAGGCTCTCATTGGCTGTTTCAAAGCTCAGCCCTCCAATAAAGAACTTCTTCAGCTGTTCGGGCTCTTTGGGAGACTCTGACTTAGACGTGATCACAGGGAGAAGAGAGACTTTAACGATGCTTCTTCAGAGGTGCCCACCAGCAGAAAGCTTTCACTACATCCTGTGGATTTTGATAACATGTATTTTCATTTTCATTTAGCTTGAAATACTTTAAAATTTCTCCTGAGACTTCTTCTTTGACCCGTGTGTTATTGAGAAGTGTATTGTTTAATTTTTAGGTGCTTTGAGATTTTCCAGTTATCTTTCTGTTGTTGATTTCTACTTTAATCCTGTTGTTTGAGATCATACTTTGAAAGATTTCTACTCTTTTACATTTTTAAGGTGTGTCTTATATCCCAGAATGTGGTCTGTCTTGATGCATGTCATGAGAACTTGAGATGATTATGGATTCTGCTGCTGTTGCGTTAATTTTTCTCTAAATGGCCATTAAATTTAGCTCATTGATGGTGCTGCTCAGTTCAACTCTGTCCTTCCTGATTTTCTGCCTGCTAGATCTGTCAACCACAGATATATGTGTATTGAAGCCTTCAATGATAGTAACTGTTCATTTCTCTTTGTAATCTGTCAGTTTTAACCTCAAGTATTTTCATGACCTGTTGTTAAGTATATACCCATTAAAGGTTGTTATATCTTTCTGGAGAATTGAATCCGCTATTGTTATGCAATAAAGGAACTTTATCTAGAAAATTTAGAAATTTTTTTTCTAGAGTCTTTGTCTAAAATTAATTTTTCTAATCTAGCTTTATTTTGATCAGTTTTAGCATGGCATATCTTTCTTCATCCTTTCACTTTTAATCTGTCTGTGTCTTTGTATTTAAAGCAAGCTTCTTATAAACAGAATATAGTTGGTACTGTTTTATATCCACTCTGATAGTCCGTGTCTTTTACTTCATATGTATCATTCACATTCGAAGTGATTAATATAGTTGGTTTAATATCTGTAACTGTTACATTCGTGTTTATAACTGTTTTATATTAGTTTCCTTTTGGCTTTCTGTCTCTTTCTGCCTTCTCTAATTTTAAATGAACATTTTATATGTTTCTGTTTTCTCTTTTTGCCCAGTATCAATTATAATTCCTTTTAAATGTGTTAAGGTTTTTCTAGAGTTTGCAGTATACATTTACAACTAATCCAAGTCCATTTGTAGATAACACTGTACTCCTAACATATAATGCAAGCATCCCATCACAGAGTATTCCTACTTTCTCCTTCTTGTCTCCTAGACTATTGCTGTCGTTCCTTTCCTTTAGGCTATAATCACCGATTACATTGTTGCTGCTATCATTTTGAACAAATTTTTGTCCATTCAATCAATTAAGAAATTTTTTTAAAGAGATTTTGTTTGAGCCTCATTTTTTCCTTCTCTAATCTTCTTCCTTTCTTTATGTAGTTTCAACCTATATCATTCTCTCCCTTTTTCTGAAGAACTGTTTTTAAACATTCTTTTCAAGGAAGGTCTTTTGTCAACAAATTCTCTCAGTTTTTGTTTATCTAAGAAAGTCTTTATTTTTCCTTCACTTTTGATAATTTCACAGGATATAGAATTCTAGGTTAATGAGTTTTTTCTTTAGAGACTTTGAATATATCCCCCCATTGTCTTCTTGCT